ATATAACTTTATTTGCAATTACAAAAGTAAAAAAGTCCATTTGTGACAAAATTTATACAGATTTGGATAAAATTTTCATTAATATACACAACGAATATGATTTTTTTGCCATAAAATTGGGAGATCTCCTTGTAAAATGTTAGTATGAAAAAAATATATTTTCTTAAAAAAACTACACCTGCATCCATCTATGATTCATACTTTTAGTAAATTTTAGCAAAAATATTCAAAATTTGTTGATTGTCACACAATCAACCTAATTATTACCTGCTTATTCATTAAAAGAAGTGTACAAATCATGCAATTTGTGTACGGATATGCAAGACATAGTTTTATGATTTTGGGATAAATATTACAAAACCACATACAGGTTCCATATAAAAACGGAATTTCATATATGATTTTTATCAGCGCAATCGATTATCAGCCAAAATGCAATCCAATGGAATTTTCAGTTACGAGTTGGCATCAGATTGAATTTTCAGTAGATAACCTTTTTTAGTTATAAAATATTTATTATGTTAAACTGTTGATGCTAATATTATATCACTATTTTTTAATAAAATATAATCATAAACAAATTTAAAAGTACTACGATTTTAATTTTTCCGCCAAGTGGAGCACTACGATTTTTACTGTTCCGCGAAATGGAACATTACGATTTTTAGTGTTCCGCCAAGTGGAGAACTACGATCGCGGTACGCTACTATTTTTAGTGTTCCTACCGCGGTACACTACGATTTTTAGTGCTCCAACCGCGGTACAATACGATTGTTAGTGCTCCGACGGCGGTACACTACAAAATTTCGTTGTGCTCCGGAACAGTAACCCTAAAATATTTTTAAAGTTTGTGTACCGGAACACTAACTTGTTTGTGTTCCTAGTACGGTACACTACGATAGTGTACCGTTTTTTGCGAACACTGGTTATAAGCAATGCATATATATATATATATATACGTGATCAGGAGGTGTTTCGACCCATATTTTGTTATTATCCAATTGTCCAAAAACTAATAATACTGCAATATATAATAATTAAATTAAAATATAACTTTTATACATATTTTTGCCGGTTTAACACAAATTTGTTTAGATCAACATACAATTTCGGTAGATTTTATGTCCTTCCTAATTACAGTCATATCCGTTTGAAAATGGAAATTTTAAAACTTTGAGAAACGATTCGATTTAGATGAAATTTGGCACAGCTCAATTATTTGGCCCAAGGACGAACTCTATTGAAATCGGTTCAGATTTAGATATAGCTCCCATATACATTTTCCTCCGATTTTATTTATATGGTGCACCAAACACTAAATATTTTTTCGATGGAAACAAAATTTTGCACAGCCTATTGAATTAGGTCCAGTTTGATGTCTGCGAGGTATTCCGGAAATCGGTTCAGATTTAGAAATATCTCTCATATATAGTTTCGTCCTATTTCTGGTAAATGATGTACCAAACTTCCAATGTTTGTCCGATTCAAACAAAGTTTGTCACAGCGTGTTGACTTAAGTCGAGTTTGATGTCCGTGAAGTTTTATTACAATCGGTTCCCATATATAGTTTCTTCCGATTATGCACCACACTCCCAAGAATTGTCCGATTGACACAAAATTTTGCACAGCATATTGAAATAGGTCAATATTGGTGTATACGAAGTTCTGTGGAAATTGGTTCAGATTTAGATATTGCTCCCATATAGAGTTTCGTCCGATTTTTGTTAAATGGTGCGCCAAATTCCCAATATTTTTCCAATCAATACAACATTTTTCACAGCGTACTGCACTAGGTTCAGTTTGATGTCTGTGAAGTTTTGTTGAATTTGGTTCCGATTTTGATCTAGCTCCAAATATAGTTTCGTCCGATTTTATGTCACGGTGCACTAAATTCCAATATTTGTCCGATTGAGACAATATTTTGTACAGCATACCGAATTAAGTCCATATTGATGTACACGAAGTTTTGTTGAAATCGGTTTAGATTTAGATATAGCTCCCGCATATAGCTTCGTCCGATTTTTGATAAATGGTGCACCAAACTCCCAATATTGGTCCAAATTAGGTCCAGATTAATACATGCCAAGTTTAGTTGGAATCGGTTCTGAGTTAGTCAATGTTTTCCGATTGAAGTTTTGAAGTTGACATCCGTGAAGTTTTGTTGAAATAGGTTCAATTTTAGATATAGCTCCCATATATATTTTTGTCCGATTTTATGTAAATGGCACACTGAGGCTCTATGTTTGTTTTTTTCACGAAATTTATCTGCGGGTATGGTACTTAGCCTAGAATGTTTTGTTTATGTTTAAGGTTTATTTACTTTAGTCCCATTTTATGTTAATAGTGCACCATATATCCTGTTATATTTCCACGATATTTTGTTGTTGAAATCGATTCAGATGTAGATATAGCTCCCTCATATATTTTTGGCCGATTTTATGCAAATGTTGGAAATGAAGGCGCCCATGTCTGTTCGCTTTACATGAAATATTGCATAGCGTATTTTTCTTAGTGATATTCACCGCAGAGACTAAATCGAAGTATTTAGGTTACAAACGAGCCCTTCTACTTGAGAATTTCGTTGGTGCCTCACTTCTTGGTTAACAAGGCATTTATAAAGAATGTCCTAATTTAATCCACATTTTTCCACTATTTCTCGTTTAAATTTTTAATCCCCAATAATCGTAGGTATTCAGTTAAGCATTGACTAATAACAGCCCCTGTTTTTAGTATTCATTATTTTTCATTAAGACTCCTAATTCCCAATTCTCTCCCCAAAGAATTAAAAACACGAAGTTTTTTTTTAATTAAAAATTTCTCCAGAACTATTGCTTTGTGAAGAGCAAAAGTTTGAATACTATTTTTGCAAATTTATTTTTTGTAATTTTTTGTTTTTTTTTTTTTTTTTAGATTTTTTTCTTTTGTTTATAAATTTGTAATTTGTTTTGCTTTTGTTTTTCTTTATAATTTATAATTTCATATGGTTCCTACATTGATAATTTACAGACACATTTATAATTGATAATTATAATAGTAATAATAATAGAATAATAATAATAGTAATGAAAAAACTGATAATAATAATAAGAGATAAAACTTAACATTATAAGTACGATTATACTCGTATTGTTTGTTTGTTGGTTTTGTTGTTTTTGCTTGATTTTTAATTAAATGGATCCCATTCATTTATTGGGATCCACAGCAATAATACAATTTGTTAATATTAATTATTAATAATAAGAATAACTAATTAATAGTTGTAAGAATGGTTAATTCATTACTTGTTCTGGTATCAATGTGCTTGTTTTTGTTGTTGTTGTTGTGGGTTATCCTTTATAAATAATAAATAATAATAATACATTTTACACACACATATATAAATGAATTTTTGTTTTCTTTGTTAATATTTATGGATTTATAATATTTTCTTGCATTGTGTTGTTTTTGTTGTTTTTTAATAAATATGTATATTGTATGTGGTTGGTTTTGTTGCTGTATTAATTAATAATACAAAGCTAATAATGATAATGAATTTTGTTGTTGTTGTTTAATAAATTAATTTGTTGCTTTGTTTTTGGGATATCCTATTAAATACTAATTAATACACACTTAATGAGTTACAGATCAATTTGTTGTTGGTTAAAAATATAGATTTTTTCTTCTTGTTGTTTTTGTTTGGTATTATTTTTTTAATATTTGCTATGCCTTAATTTGTTTGTTGTTGATTTTTTCAGGGTGGTTGGTGTAGTTTTAGATATATATTTTTGTTTGTTGTGAATTTAATATTTTTAAACATTTAAAATATTTAATTTGAAATTTGTTTTATATATATTTTTTTATATATTGATACGACTACAAGAACATTTAGATGTGAGAAAATTTGAAAAACTCTAATTATATTGAATAATTCATAATTGTTTGTTTTGTTTTATTTATTAATTAATATTTAATATCGCAGTTAAGAAATTTATTTGTTTTTGTTGCTATTTAATGAAAAAAAATTTTGAATTTTTTTTTGTTTGTTAATTGTATTAAGTTGCTATATATCTCTATTTATGTGTATTTTATAATTTGTTTGTTTTTGTTTTTTTTTCATTATAAATTATCATCATTCACAATGTTGAGGAGTTTCTTTTTATTTCTGTGGTTATTGATATTTTTGCTGATATTGCAAATTGTGGTTTTTGTTTAATTATGTTTTCAAAAAAGCTTAATTTTTAAACATTTACACAAAGTAAAACTATGGTTTGAATATTGTTGCTTTGATATTGTTTGATTGGTTGGAGGGTTTATTTTATGGGGGGAGTTTTCATTATTTTTTTTTAAATAATTTTTTTTTGTTTACTATGTGTGTGTGTTGTGGGCTGGGATATTGCCAATTTAGGATTTGCATTTGTTTTTGTATTTTTTTAAAAAAGCCTAGGTGCTAACTATATAACATTTATGAACTACTACTTAATCAGTATCACATTTTAATGAGTTATAGTAGATGGCAAACTCCTGCAACTTTGGAGCTTGTATTTATATACAAAAGTTGCGGAGCTTTAATTGCAAACATCTGACCATATTTTTCACAATTTACGTTCCTTTGAAATCAAAACACAAACGATTTATCATTGTTTTTCATTTTTCACAAAATAACTTAAATACTATTACGAAAAGAGAGACTTACAAGCTAATATGGTGGTGAATTCACAATGTGTTAATGGTTGTTGGTTTGTTTTGTTGAGATACTTTTACGCTGCTGCCTGTCTGTCGGTGTGTCATCAATTGCAGTGGGACTTGCAAAGTCTGGGCAATGATGACAACGACGATGAAGACAACAACAACTGGACGCAACACACATCACACGTTGTATGGATGGGATGTGCAACGTCCATGACGATGATAATGATGAGCGTTTTTGTTTATATGAGTATGCCTTAAGGTGGGTTGTTCTTCTGGTGTGTGTTTGTATGGAGTTCTTTGTATTGTATGTTCTGGTATAAAAACTACCAACTACAACCATCAGCTGCGGTATGGGAAGGGAGTTGTGCCCAGGCAAATTGTACGCCCACACACTAACTACTTTCACATGGCGAATACAGTTTGTGTTTGGTTAAACTGTAATCGGGACTGATGGTTATGCTGCGCGACAAATTCTTCATGAACTGTGGCAGCAGGCTGGCCCAGCCACGTTTGTCTTGGCGCAGGGTTAAATACAGCTCAAATGTCGATACCATTTCATTGTCCACCTTAAGGGTACCGATGCGGCGGGAATTCTGTGGCTCTTCCTCGAATTCGATATAGACGGTACAACCGCGTACACCGCAGGGTTCACGTTCTGAGACGCGTAGGATATCTGACGCTATGCGTGTGGTGAGATCACAGGGTATGGAGACTTCGGTGCAGGTCAAGTTGCGGGACTTGGCCTCACGTAATTCATCGAGCAGACGCAGTGACAAATCATTAATGGCCGCTGCATCGCTATTATCACAGTATATGAGTTCTTCGTCCAGGGGTGTACCGGCAACGTGGCTGTGTTGCTGGGAACTGTGTGTGGCACGTGCGGCTGAGGATGATTTGTTTGCACGTGAGCTGGAGATAGGCGTTGACCAATCTGCAAAGATATAAAAAGTACAAGAAATTAGAAATTGAATTTTAAATCAAAAATTTTTTTAAGAAATAAAAAAACAATTCAAAAAAATTTTTTTTTTAATTTACATAAAAAATCTTCTTGTTCTGTGTAATGAAATATTTAGGCTGATAGATATTCGTACATAAGCGGAAGTAGTTTTATAATTTGGTGATTAGTAATTCTTGTTGTTTATTTTTTTATAATTTATTTTAGTTATTGTTTTTTTTTTGTTTGTATGTAGATATGTTTGTAATATTTCATCAGCCCTTTTACATATATAACTACAAAAGGGGCAATAAAGGGATAGCAAAAACAACAACAACAACTCAAATCGAATAAATAATAAAACGTGACGAAAATATTTTTATTTATTTGTGTTATTTTGTGTTGGCTGCCTGGTCGAGGCTCTGAGGAGGTGTGGTGCCACCAGCCAGTCAGCCAGCCATTCAACGTCATTATAACAAGACTAATACTAAATGTTGTTGTTGTTTTTTCAATATTCATGATGACATGAACTTGTTTTTTGAAATACAAATATAAATCTGATGAAATTTCTATTTCCACTTACAACCAGATATATGTGGATTTATTATTATTTATTTTGTTACTAGGAGGAAGAATTGCATTTTGAAAAGCAAATAAAAAATATTATAATAATAAATTATATGCAAAGTAAAGTGATGCAGAAAAAAACTTGAATTGCCTGTTTAGTTAAATTATATTTCATTTACATTTAATTTATGGCATTAATATATATTTTTAATTAATTGCCCATATAATATATATTTTTAACGGCAATTAAAAAATATTGTTTTAGAACTGCATTTTGTTTTGAAATATATATTTGTATTTGAAATATTTTAAAATGAAATTACAATACTAAAAGAATTATTACAAAAAATAAATATTAGAACAATTCCAACAACCCAATTTTAATGTTAACAAAATTACAACAATTAAGTTTTAAGAATTTATTTTTAAATCTTCGATTTATATAAAAAAATGAAGATAAAATTAAAATCCTTTTAAACTTCTAATGAAATAAAAATTACAAAAATGTCAACCCCCCATTTATCTTTTTAAGAAGTTAACAAAATTACAACAATTAATTTTAACAAACTCATCGAATTCTTTTGAGGCCTATTTTTAATGTATTAAAACAAATTTTTATTATTCTGTTCTGCTTTCATAAAAAATTAAATTTTATTTGAATTTTATTATAGCAATATAAGAGGTTATTAAACTGTTTTTATAAAAGCACACCTTGGTGCAATTTGAAAAAAATGTTTTGCATTCATATCTTATCTAAAACGTTTAATCAAACTTAATTTTTCTGTGTAATCACAACAATTTAATTTCGCCAATTTTATACTTGGTAACAAAGAAACAAATACAAAAAAAAAAAATATTAATATTGTTTCGAGGCAGATGATATTAATAAAGAATTCAAAAATAAATAAATACCGACGGCTTTTTGAAATTTAAAATAATGTAATTAGAACATGTAATTTTGCTAAAGGTCTGTATCCAAAGCTTAATTTTTATATATATCATTTACTAATAATTTTCAAAAAAAAAAAAACATAAAATTTTACAAATTTATAAATTCTGATACTAAGATAGAAATTATTAAAGAAAAAATTATAATTCTGAATTTGATAAAATTTTGAAATTTCTGAAGTTAAAAAATTTATTTCACACAATCAGTACTAAATATTTTACAGAACAAATTCTCCAAAATTTAAAAAAAACAAACAACTTTTTTTTATCATTTTTTTATAATTTTGCAAAATGTCGAAGAAGTCAACCTACCTTTTGCTTTTGTTGTCCCACTGGTTAAGACGGTAAAACGTTCAGGATATTGATTTTGCACAGATAACACTTCCATTTTATCCGGATTAATTTTGATTCACAATTATTACAAAAATTAAAAAACCTTTCAAAAAGTTTATTTTTGTGTATAGTTTTTTGTGTATTTTCTTTTTTTGTTTAGTTTTTATTTTTAATTATCAAAAATACATGTAAATGCACGGTTTAGTTTCATAGATTTATTATTTTTGTTCTTGTTAAATAAAAATAATTCATTTAACGAAGAGATCACAGTTTCTTTGTTTAATAAAAAATGTTTTTTTGTTTTGTTTAAAAAAACAAATTTGACAATTTTTTTTTTGTGGTCAAATTGTCTAATGCATAAGTCACATACGCTTTCTGATATTCAATTGGTTGGTTGTCTTTGATTAAAATTATTTTTTCAATTTAAAAAAATATATTTTTTGTTTTATATTTCATATGTTTTAAAAAATCACAATAAAAAAATTTTCAATTTTATCACCGCAATTTTCATTGAGTTGCTTAATAAAAATATAAGTGTTATTTTCTTTATTCCGTTTCTTTGTAGTTTCTTTCTTATCTTTCCTATATGTGAATATCAGCAGTGTCTAACAGTAACTGAGGTAAACAGCTGTGTGACGACGAATTTATAGGCCCGGCACAGCCAGCACTCTTATGAGCAGCCCCTTTTGGGGTATATTGAGACGAGAGAAAGAGTGGCCATGTTGGCCATAATTGAGTGGAAAATGAGTTGTAATAGAGCAGGGAAAATCGTCCGAGAGAGAGACGTGGCAAACATATGATGTGGTTGGCAAAAAACAGCTGAGTTTAGAATTTACATTGTAATTCCAGGAATTAAGCACTGTTACTTAATTCCAAATAATTTTAAATATTATATTATTTTTCTTTTCTAAAAAGAATAATTAATAATTTTTTATTGAAATTATCTGTTCTAAAAACACAAAACTTCTGGAAGTTTAGTATCTCTCCGTTAAGAATTATTAAAAGAAATTCATGCATAATTAACTCTTTCAATTTTTTCCTACAAAATTTCTTCTTCTCCATGTATCTCAATTTTTCTCACGAAATAATATTGTACTCCAGTATGAGCAAATTCGAAACAAGTCTCTCTGCCCCTCTTGGCCACATATGCCATGGAAATGGTCATCAAATATTGAGTTCTCTCACAATTACCATAGTAATTCTCCGGGTTTTGAGTTATTTTCTCTTTGGGGTTAAACTCTCGCACTCTCTTGCTCTCCCGCTGCCTCTTAGTCAATACCTCTCACAATATCTTCTGGATGTCAAACAAAAAAACAAAACCAACCATCTCCAACTGTGTGGTGTACGTGACTTTTTCATTTGTTTGGCGGTCGGTCGTTTAGTTAGTTGGTTGTTCGGTTGATTTGTTGTTTTGCTTTTGGCCTGAGTTCTTTTGGGTCGGCCTTTTGCAGTGTGTTTGTTGCTGTGCGGCATGTTTTTGTTGTATATTGTGTGTTTTTTTGTTTCTTCAACGTTCACCCATGCATTGGGAAAACTGTCATAAGAAGTACTCGTCGTCGTTACTTATTCAGCACCTCCCTCGCTATTGTCCCCGCTCGAGGAACCGGGTTGGGGCAACCAACCTAATAAAGATTACAGATGTGTACGGTTCTCCTAAAATTACTCTCTCTTGCACACACACACACTCGCACTCTCAGCACTCAATCGTTTGGATACTCAGTCCGTTCAATCATCGGTTTGTACGTCTGTCCCCCGTAATGTATCTGTAAGTCGGTCGTTTAATCTAACATCCATCCGTTTGGTTGTTGGTTCGTCTGTCGCTCGGTCGGTCGTTTTGACGGTTGTTCGTGTTTGTTTGCTACGCATATGAAACTTTTCAATGCATTGTCAGTGTTGTTTGCTGGTTTCTGTGTTACAGCCGGTTTTCGCTAAAATTTATTTTTTACCCGATGCCGTAGTATTTTTTTCAATTCATCAAACGAACGATTTGGATTAATACCCTACACCACAACACGAAGTGAATACTAAAAATTCATCAAGCCGTTAGCAACAAAAATGGAAAATAATTTATAAACAAAATAAGTGTAGCAGACCCTTGAATTGAAAATAAATTCAAAATTTAAGTTGCTTTAAAATAATCGCAAAAAAATACACACATGAAAAAAGTTCAGTGAATTGCCTTCAAGAAAATCGATAAAAATAATAATAATAAAAGAGGTGCAAATGAAATAAAGAAAACATTAAAGTGTTCATGAAATGCCAAAAAAGCTAATAATAAGAATAATAATGATAAATTAGATTGAAAAATAAATGTAGGTTAGATTTTGTTGAGGAAATAAAATAAAATTTGTCCATTTTTTGTGTGGAAAATTTTCATATGATTTTCAAATGAAATTAATTTTTTGGTAAAAGGTAGGATAAAAAATCATGCCTCAAAAAAAAAGTATAGTGAAACGTTTAATCTCAGACTATCATTGTGTTTGGAATATCCCGATTTGATCCTTATTTAAATTACCATCACAGAAATAAATAAATTAATATATTGGAAATTTTGTGGATTTTGTAGTTTCGAATTAATATCCCTCCTCGTAAAATTGCAAACAAAATAAATTCCCGAATATTGGGATAGGGACTGACAACTAAATCTTAGATTTTGCAATTTTGTGTTATTTAATGCAGGATTTCACATGAAATTCAAAGTTTTGTGAAATAAAAAAATCGGAAGTGTAAAACATTTGGAAATTCGTAATTTTTGTTTTATGCCAAAATTAATTTACATAATTTTTCTAAATGTTGTGCTTTTTGTTAAATTAGCCGATTGCCTTTGTGTGAATAGACGTTTTAAACAAAATAACGTTCTTTATATAAATGTCAATTTGTGTAAAGCGAAATTTACTAGTTTTTCACAACGTCTTATAATTTAATATTCTTTGAATAAATAATTCCCAGTTTTTCTATATACAAACACCAAGTTCTGCAGTAGTAGGTAGGATGAAATGTCTTTCCTGAAAACAACAGTTAATGGGACTCTGGTAATTTTTAATTCTATCCTAGCTTTGTGTTTTCAATATCCGGATTACATTAATCCTTATTATTAAATTATCACTAACCTTTGGGTAATTTTAAATTGTCGGGTTTGTAGTTTGGAAAACACATCCCTCCCTACTTAAATCCGAAACAAAATATAATCTAGAATATTGGAATTCGGACCGAAAATTAGTTATACTCTTTACGAAAAACACATCCCTTAGCTTTACTTTTGATAATATTCCATTTGGAATTTTGCCATTCAAATCATATTTTTGCAAAAGAAATAATTCTGAAATTTTGGAATATTTTCATTTGTCAAATGGCTAATTTTCGTTATACTGGTAGAATACTCCATTTTCATAGGGTTTTATAGAATTATATCTTGTAATAACAACCATAGGTAGGATGAAATATCTTGTCTTCAATTAATATTTTTGCGAAATAATAGTAATAATTCGCAATTGTTGTACACAGTTGAAAATTTGGAATATTTTCATTTGTCAACATTAAATGTAATGTAAAATTTAAAGTGCCTCTGGTTATTGTAAATCTTATTCAAGCTTTGTGTTTGAAATATTCGGATTTCGAAAATTCCTATTTAAATTACCATCACACAAAAATAAATTACCCTTCGGGTTGGGTTTTGTAGTTTTATATAAAAAATAACTCCTTCTAAATTTGTATCAAGATAATTTCTAGAGTATTTAATTTTCCCTTGAAAATATTGAATCTAGGATATTGCTATTTGAACACGTTTCACATAATTTGGAAAAAAGTTAATACTTGGAAATTTGAAATACTTTAATTTTCTACTTTTATGTAATATGCAGGTCTGTTTATTTTGATAAATCCCAAAATCGAGCGTTTTTCGTTAAAGCGGCAGACTGTTCCGTTGTGATTTTTTTTTTTTCAAAATTCCAACACTCAATATAATTATTGCATATATTTAAAGATACTTTTTGAACAAAGGGCATATAATAATAAGTTAACAATTTGCTATTGTATAGGAATTTTTTTGACTTAATTCGAATCTACACTAATTCAAGAATGTCTCTACAAAATTTCAAGTGAAAATCTCAAGAACTCTTGAAGATATAGCCGATTTATTCTGTCAGCAGCAAGTGCCGGCTGAAGGGCTTCTCAAACTTTAAACGCGAATGGCGGGCACGATAACTCAAAAACTAATAACCCAATCGATTAAAAATGTTTACACGTTTCTCTGTGAGTGTATAGATATCGTATGAACTAGGATAAATCCAATCGGTGGAAATCTTCCTTATTTTTTAACTTGGTTTGTGGTAAAAAATATGCGATTTTTCAAAAATATTTGTTAAAGGTCCGCCATTTTGTTAATTTTTGAGCGAAGCCAATAATCCTTATGGAATGGAATTTTCGGATTCCGATGTTCCAGTGAGTTATCATGCCCGCCATACATCATACTTTACTTCAATCACCAAAAACAACAACAACAAAATTTTATAAATTATTTTTCCAATTGGTTACACATTTTAATCCATTATTCCATAAATATATAGTCATTGTATGAACACGGACTGATTCGGTAAAATTCTTAAAATGTTAACTAGATTTGTGTCGAAACATATATGAACGTGTAAAAATGTATGGAACATATTCTTTAATTCCACATTTTAAAATTATTTTCATATTGAAATTTTTTACAAATATAAATGTTATTTCTTGACTATAGGAAACACATTTTTTTTAATTTTCAAAGACAATTTTAATGGAAATCTTAATAAATTTGAAAAAATGAAAAAAAAACAAAACATGTTGCTAGGAGAATAAACATTTTACATTTTACTATTATAATCAGTTTTCATATTTCTTAAAAATCTTTCAATTTTTTGTGATCGTAGAAAATACAAATTGCAGTTTGGTAATATTTTTTCAACATCATGTATATTAAACGGATTATTTAGTAACACACAAATACATACAAATCAAGGCTACTATAAAATTTGTATATCAAATTCATAATCCCTACTAGTTTTGTGATTTTAAACTGCTGGAACCTAATTCAATTGTTGGATTTTTGGAAAATTCACTATGATTATTTAATTTGTGTA